TATACTTGTTAAACCAATGAGATAGTTTATACCTCTGTATCAGACCTGTGCAGACCACTGAAGTCCATTGCCATGCAGTAATTCAGGTTGCCATCTGCTGGCCGAGATTTCAATGACATGGTATGTCATGAAATGTACAACACAGGCAACGTACATCGGTATCACAAAATACTGACATTTACATTTTAGAATTGATAGGACAATCATTTCTCACGAAGAGTCGTTAGTGTTTGTTTTTTTAATCATCTGACACCACCACATTGCTGTGCCTTTTCTTTCCTTCCTTTAAATGTGTATTGTTTGCAGATTATTTGTTTTGGCATCTCTTTTGATAAGCTATCATGAACCTTCCCGTCTGCTCACAGGGCTTTGCTTCAAGCCATTTTTTGATGATACATCCCAATGAATGTTGAGTGTTGAATGACATGAATCACAGTGGTAGTGATTATCTTTCTGTGTTTTGTTTGCTTTAGGGTTTGGGAAAGGTGTTTTCTTTTCGCTTTGGCTTCAATTATACATTTACTGAACATTTACGGTATAGTAAAGTGACCTAGAGAGTAAAATGGTAAAGTTTTCACAGCTTTATTGAGCGCTACACTGTTTTGGCCCCTACGAGCCACCATCGGCCGTTCAGGACAACACACGTGATCCGGTCAGTTGACAAGGCAAAACACGGCAGTAGACTAGAAAGACAAGCGACATGGACCATCATCGGGTGGATAGGGTGGGCCTCCTGTCTCCCCTGGAGGAGTCCAGCGCTGAGATAAGCAGAGACAGCGGCATTGTCTCCCAGAGTGCGAGCAGTTTGTCCATGGTGAGCGAAATCCTCAGCAGCGGTACCGTGTCGCAGAGCCCCAGTTTTGGCGCAGCAGCTAACGTTATCACTCGAAGCCCGAGCGTCAACGAAGCAGCAGAGCCTGGGACGGCAGACCAGCGCTACCCGGAGCAGGACGACGAAGTCCTGAGACACACCGCCCACAGCTACTCCACCTACATAAGGGCGACAGCTGGAGATGAGGTTTGTGCTGGCGGCTCATAACGTTACACAAGTCATGTAACATACTGGAGCCTACGTAGTAACTAGCAAGGTTAACGTTAAGGTCTTTGTTTATGAAGTAACTTAGCTGCAGCGCAGCACGCACTTGTGTAATGGCTAATAAATTGACTCAACTGACAAGCAATGCAGTTGTTGACCAACGGCTTAGTAAAGTGGTTGCAAGTGATGTGATTGGTTTGAAGTCCCAAGTCAAGTCCTATAGTTTGTATGTTCGAGTCCTAAGCAAGTCACTGGTGCACAGTTGCCAAATTGAATGCCATTTCAAAAAAAAGTATCATAACAGTAAATCTGGAACAATTACATAAATAAAACAAGCCTTTAAAGGGGTACTCCATTATGTTCAGTTTACTACTCATTTAAGTGTAACGTTACTAAGTCTGTGAAAACATGAGTTCTGTAGCTCTGGAAGGAGCTTTTCAACGTTTAAAACGTACTGCCTGTATTGAGTTGGATGTGTTTCATGTTGCCTTCCATTTTTGTCGGCCACGGCCATAGACTGTATATGGCCACGGCAGTCTTCACTTTTTTTTACTTTAATCTGTAGTGTCATCAGTCCCTCCTGTTATTGCAAAATAAAGAGTCTAAAGTCATAAGTTTCATGACTCAATACTGACTTTGTTGGGTCCAAGTCATGTGATAAGACTCCACACCTCTGTTTTCTGGGTCATAAGCCCTACATTCAAATAGAAGTAATTTAAATAAAGTAAAGTATTAAATAAGTATATCTTTAAGATTTAGTTATGACGGCTGACTAACCAGATTGCTGTCATTCCTGAGTTGACACTAAGTGGATGTGCGTGATACCAGGCAATTTCTAAAGAAGCTGAACTAGCTAGCTGGCTCTGTAGGAAAACAAAGGCCCCTGTGTTTTGGCCGTGTGGTCCCTGATGACACAATTTAAAGGCATTTTATTGAATTCCAGCTGTAACTGGTGTGTGACTCCTAGGCTGGCTACACTTGATGTAGCTTTGGTTTAAAAATAGTTTTCACAGCTTTTTCTTTTAATGATTTCCCCTCTAGATCCTGTGCTTGGAGAAGAGTTTGGAAGAAATGCTGACAAGAGTAGATGAATTTGTTGGAATGCTGGATATGGTAAGCGAATGCACTGTAAAAGACCTATGTATGCACTGTCTCATTTTTATTAAATTACAGTACATGCATATTTGTCTCTCACGTCCTTTTGTGTTTTTCCTCTAGATCCGTAATGATACCTCCCAGATAGTTAATGAAAACCTACCTCAAATTCAGCAGAAGTCTGATGAAATGAGACAAATATATAGAAGAATTGATAAGTTAGAGGTAAGTGATCAGTTTAACTTTGCAAGTTTGAAAGGGTTAATGCTACTTTATACAAACTATTTAGTTTGGTGTTTTGTAATGCACTCTTGGAACCAAAGCAGACTGCAAACTACACGAATAATTCTGAAATTACGTAAAACCTATGATGTAATGTAGTGTAAACAGGGTTTGTATGCAGTTTTTATTGATAATGTGAAATATCCTCTTCACAAAAGGAGGAACCAACACTGGTTTAGCAGTGCTGTATGTTCCTGTTTTGAAATTCTAATAATGTTTCACTAATGAGGGTACAATCCAAAAGATAAACATAGGAATCGAATCGTAAGTTATTAAAGCTGTTGCTTTCATACAGAGTACAGAACTTGTTTTTTGTCTTTGTTACATTCACAAAACACTCTGCAGACTGCGATTTAGTATTCAACGGTAGTGTGTATTTATTAATTTCTGTATAATGTGTATGTGTTCATATAAATGTATTTTTGTTTTTAGGGTGTATCTATTATTTCATTATGATTTTTGATTGCCTTTCTTTGCTTTTGTTTTTAGTTTAAAGCTGACTCAGAGAGATATGCACAAAAATTCCTATGTACTTGTACTGTCTTGTGCAAATGGCAAATAAATCTAATCTTATCTAATCTTCAAGCATTTCAAACTGCTTTTCAAGTTCACTCATGTACCTACTTTTTAAAAAAAAAATAAAAAAGTTAAAGTTAAAACCTTACTGACATTGTGAAACATATATTCTTTGCCTGCATGGGCATGTTAAACCTTTAGTAATATGGTAGTGTACTGTCCTAAATGCATTTTCTCAATTTTATTAGCTTATTGCTATATTACTCTTGTGTGCCTCCAGGCCTTTGTAAAAACAGTGGGAGCCAATGTCAACGCCATGGAAGAGCAGGTCACACAGGCAGAGGGAGAACTAGGAACATTACCTGGTGCTTTCAAGAAGATCCTCCGCACAATGAGTGTCCCAGGCTTCTTAAATGTGAGAGCTCCTCTAAGTGCTTATGCATCTGTAGTTTTACATGTGCTTGGTCAGTACCTAATTATTGTGTGTTCCTATAATAACAATCATGAAATAACCAGTGAATTGTGGTGTTAAACTGTGTGTAAGTGCTGCTGAGTTCTGAGTTTAACAGAGACCCTTTTTTTTTTTTTCAAATAAACATTTAAACTCCTGCACAGCAGTTTGTTGTAATTCTACTCCAAGCAATGCTATTGGATAATTGGGATTCATTTTGTGTACGTTCACTCGCAGAAACCGGCCAGCCCGAGAAGACCAGCACCACATCAGCATCAAGAGATCCCTAGTGTGTTCCGGACAGATGATTATTTCACATCACAGCCAGAGCAGTGACATGCTGGAACATTTAACACATAACTTGGTTCTAACCTCAGAGGCCTGTTGGGTGACACTGTAGAGACAACTTGTACTGCCATCCATTGCAGGAGGATCTGTTGGTGCAGTGGCCTCAACAAAGCAATAGTAGCCTTTCTGAACAAGTCACTGGAAGTCAAGTGCAAGACATTCTGCGTTTTTGAGTGTGACTCTCCTGGCAGCAACAAGCACTGAACTGTAGCAAAATGATTTTAAAAGTGCCTAAATGGGTCTTATTTCTGTCCGTCTTGTTTTCACTAGTTAGAAAGCAATGTCAGATGTTGGGTTTGTGACAAGTCAGGAGGACAAAGTCATCACACTTGCCAATAGGACACTGTAAAGAAGGTACAGTAGGAGGACCTGTAAAGATCTTCAGATGTATTACATGAAAAATTAACCCTGCTTTTTTATAAATAACGTTCTTGTTACTGTTGTTTGTAAAGACCTGCACGCTGTTATGCATTTATCTGTATTTCTAATATTTCATCACTCTCCCCAAGCAATACTGATTTCCTCCAGTTAAGCATATAATGTCTTCCATTTCAAAATATTCACATTATTGCTAGCCTGACGTTATTGGCTATGGATTGCAGTTCCCTCGTTAATGTGGGGTTACATCTAAGATGGCATATTTTCAATAAAAGAACAGTATCGATGAGTTGTGATAGTTTCACAAGTCAGATTATCTGGTGAATCAAAGTTTGAGCCAGGGATAGAGCCGTGATTGAATTTTGTAACAATAACTGGAGGAACCTTATATCTCGTCCTTGGGAGATAACTGTACCTAGAGATGTGATGTGGCCCTTATATTACCCATCCAACAAGGTCTAATCAACAATGGTCACAGCTATGTTTCATTATTTGATCAATTATTTGCCAACGTTGTTAGAAATAAAGACGTATCATTTACATTACAATATATTTGGTTTACGTTTTTAAAATAATTATTAAAGATTTGTTTGAGACAATATTATTGCTGTATGTACGTACCATTATTATTTTTTCCCGCACTGGTTGTTAAGTTTCAGTGTACCTCCAATGAGACGATTAGTCCTGAGTTTTGTTTGTCAGGCAGCCGTTCCCTTTAGTCTGCGTACAAATCCCGCTTCCTTAACTAGGATCTGCTTTTATACTCTTTGCTAGGTTTGAGAGGCCTGAATTGTAAACCATCTTTATCGGGGAATTGCTCCTGTTGGAGATAGTCGCGGAGGAAGAACCCCTGACAGGCTTAACTCTGGGATGATTAGTATGCGGTAGTTAGCCTTCATTGGTCAGCTTGCAAGAGACGTCATAATTTCGTCACGACTCGGAGGAAGCGGGAACCCCATCAGCCTCTGATTGACTGAACTTGTCTCCACGCTGGATTCCTTGGTGATTGAAAAAGTAAGATAAAACTTACGGACACGGTAAAGTACTGTTTTGGAGTTAAGTGCTTCTCACCAATAACCTACCCAGTTGTAGTAATGCACTTTTGCCGAGATGAGTACGGTGAAAATAAAGTAGAGACAGAGATTTTAAAGCGTTTCCGGGAAAAGACATTGTGTGTGCTAACGTTAACGTTAGCCATAAATTACGTTATTGGATAACTTATGGCGGCTGTCGATGTTGGGATTAGATATCTGTTTAACCCTGGCTGAAGTAGCGAATCCCCACAAGCCCAGACTCCCTCTCTTGTAACTTCTGATGGACCTCAATCTGTTTGTAATCTCATTCGAGCCTCTTAACATTAAAATTAATGTGATTTGGGCCAGACTTACAGAAACCTTAAGTTACACCTGCGAAATGTCAAGTCACTGCTGTAATCTTTCTTATCATTGCAAACGATGGAAAACATGGACATTAGCAGCAATGAAATCCTAACTTGCTTAAAGGAGGTCAAAAGTTTTCTAGCTGTATATCCACAGAAATATCCCTTAGACTGCTGATGTTAACAGGATTAATTTGTAGTATCTGTCAAACGACCGTTTTGTTGAAGTTGTGAGTGGTCTGAATAAATCTTAAATCAGAGGGCCGCCTTCACAGAGCTCAGATCTCTTCTAGTGTTCCCATATACACGTATTTAGGAAGAGTTTCCATAGTTTTGTATTTGCTTCTTGTGTAATGGCTGTGTAAAAACTAAATTTTCCGTAAAAATGCCTTAATTTGAGTGGTTTTGCTCTTATATTTCATCCAGAAATGAAACACACAGTCGTCTTCCTGCCTTGTAAACATTAACTTTAGTAGATGTAGGGTCAGAAGAGACTGTGGGTGTTGGTGGATTATCGTTAAGTTAACCTGCAGCAGAATAGACTTGTAAATAGCTTTCAATTAAGAAATGTTTTTGTAGCTTCATCTACAGTTTTTCAGTGAAGCTGTTATAATTGTGCAATGTATAGAATGATTGGCACCTTTTTACTTAATATAAGTATTGATCTCCTTCCATTCATCCAGATACAGTCTTATAAATTATCTTTCTGGAGTTTCTTTAATTTTAAATATGTGGTGTGTGTTTAAATTACTGGGATCAGCAGAAATATGTTATGTTGGAGAATGTGTTCAGTGTACTGTAACTCTGACTGACTGCTAATGATGAGACTCTTCTCTTTTAACAGATCCAAAGGTTCACGCATGGCTTGCGAGAAAGAAATATGGCAAAAGATTGGCGAGGGCTTTGTCCAAGAATATTACAACCAGTTTGACAATACGAACAGGACGGGACTGGGTAACCTATATGTACGTTTGTTCAGTGTCCATTTAATTATTGTCTGCTTTGATAAAGTACGTAACATCAACATGTGGTGTAGACACTGACAAACCAAATTCCATCACACTTGTTTACTGTAAATACTACTGTAAATACTATGATGCGTAGCACACAAAAAAGTGCATGCATTTGATGTAAACAGACTTTTTTTTTTTTTTTTCTTAGTCCGCTGACGCCTGTTTGACATGGGAAGGATCACCTTTTCAAGGGAGAGAAGCCATTGCTGGCAAATTAGTCGTATGTATCTCTTCTTAATCAGTTTGTATTAAAAATCTATTCAGAAAATAATGTGAAAAAAGTAGGCTTTCTGAACAAAAAAGGGGCAAAGCCTTTAACTGGCAGCTTCCGGTCCAAGTGTCTTTTTTGTGTGTTATTGTACATTACATTAATACTATTGTTTCCAATCCACAGAACTTGCCTTTCAAGCGCATTAAGCACATCATCACAGAACAAGACTTCCAACCCACGATAGATAGTTGTATCCTCATCATGGTGTTCGGACAGTTACAGGTAAGCTGGTACATTTTTATTGATAGCCTTGGTTCTGCACCTGCGGCCTGTATCACAAAGCAAGTTCACCGTAGTCTGGCTCTCTTTTTAGATACCTGGCTTTGCTGAGCTTAACGTTGGCCATCGTGGATAACTGGTGTCTGGCTCTGTTAACTCTGGGTTTTGCAATCCAGCTATGAGCGTGTTCACGCGAAAGAGGCAAAGTTGTTTATTATAAGCAACATCGTCAGAACTATGAATGAAGTACTTCATACTTTCATACAACAAGTATGAAATTTGGTTAAAGGGATAGCAAAAAGTGATATTCAACAAGTTGAAATGCATACGATCACATTACTAGAATGGAGTAAGATGCTGTAGAAACACTAGCACTAATTTCCAAACATTAAAAGCAAGGTTAAGGCTATAAATGAGTATGGTAATTACATGTCTTCAGTATAGAGTGATTACATTTTGTTTTTCGTCTTGATGATGTACAAACTATTGAATCAAAAAAGGTGATGCACATAAAACAGTAAATAAAACAGTTAAAAGTAATGTAAGGCTGTCTGTGCTACCAAAGCACAGAGGAGAAGAAAATACGTTGATGTCGTAACCATCTAAGGTGGACTTACCATGAGCTATGAGATTTTAAACGATGGTATATGTTCCTGTAGAAGAAGAACACAGCTGTAAGATATCAATCCTGTTTTAAGAAACACGTTTCATTCGCAATGTAATGGAAAAGTACTACACTACCCACAATCCTAAAGTACAGTAATGTTATAAAAAACAACGTGACGTTTCTGATTGGTGGGACTCGCTATTACAATTGAAATGTTCACTGCACCCACTAATGTGCCAGCAGCTAGTGAGTTACTGCTCCCACTGAACTCGACTACGAGTGTGTTTATGGGCCAGCTTGTGGATTCTGTCAGGGCCAGTATGAAAAACAAGACATAGGGATTGTGGTGAGTTTTGCAGGCTGGCTAGTTAGGTAGCTAACATGAGTCTTCAAGAAACTACAATATGCCGGTGTGAGATTTGTCAGTGGTCAGGCTGTTTACAGGTTTTGAGTAGTGACGGCCAAATGAAGCTTTTGCAAAGCACTGAACCACTTGAGCCAATTGTTTTAAAAATGGATTGAGCTGGTTTCTTTTTTTTTTTCACAACCTCTCCACACTTGGAAAACACTCACTCACAAGGAACAGATGATACTGGCGAGCATAAAAATTGTTTTGCTAGATTACACAGATGAGGGTACACATTTTGATGATTTCGCCAGTACAGTAGTGGGTCTTCTGATCTTTGCAGCGGTGGGTCATGTACCGCTGCACCTCCACTGTAGCATCCGCTGTGGCATTCCTTGCCCTCCTTGCTTCAGAAGCATCTCTGTCCAGAGTTTCCCAAAGGTTAACATCTGAAAGACTAACATGATAATCATCAGTACATCAGTGAAAGGTTTCAATTAACTATTTATAACTTTACCTGTGGATGATGGATTTTCAACATTCTTCACTGGACGATTCATCTGCTCCTGTACTTCTCTGAGCTTCTCTTTTGCTGTTGTGCTGGTTTGTAGAATGTGACTACTTTACGTGCCTTTTGTGCGTAGGTTTTCTAGGCCAGGAGTTGCATCAAGACTTTTTCACCACTAAATTTTTAGGGAATGAGCAAAGCAAAGTGCGTGTCTGAGATTTAAACTTCTGACAGAGGCAACCATATTAGCTCCTGCATCTGTCACAATTGAGGTCATTTTGCCTTCAATGCCCCATTCCTCCTTGAGAGACCTCATTGCAGCAGTGATGTTAACAGCTGTATGAGCTTCAGGGAAAGGCAGCACTCCCAAAAGGACTGTGGCCAGCTTCACAGAGTCATTCACATAATGGCACATTACTGCTACATATGCGTCCATATTAATGGAGGTCCACATATCAGCTCACAGCCTCCACCCTCTGCATGACGGCCTTGGCCTTGGTCTTCTCCTCCTCGTATTTCTAGACCACCATGTTCTTTTGGAGCCTGTCTGGATGGAAGAGTGTATGTGGGATCAAGCAATGCCACAAACTCCTTGAAGCCACAGTGATCCACGATGGAAAAGGGCTGCGAGTCCATCACCACCATATTCACAAGAGTCTCATCTAGCTCTCGCTTCCGGTCCACTAAGACAAATTAAGACATAAAGAAATTAAAATTACTTTAATAAAAGAAAATAAGGATTTATGTGAAACTGCATATAAATTAAGTAGGCATGGCATACGGTCATATCATATTGTGTAAATGTGTCTAGGTAATAGTAATATAATAAATATATAGCCTACCTTGATTTGTGTTCCCATGGTTTTTAGCAGCTCCATGCTTGGCAGTGAAGTGCCTAATCATGGAGGAAGTATTCCCATGATACTTCAGCTTGGTTGAACAAACCAAGCACTGGACCTGTAAAGAAAACAATTTGTAAATAAAAATGCAATTTGAGTCTATAATGATATAGGCTAATGGCTACCCTAATCCTTTACATCATTTTACTGTTATGCTACTTAATATAGACCCATAGCTATAGAAGGCTACTGTACTGACAGTTACTGTTGTATAAACTTTACTTTTCATATATATTAAACAGCCAGAACACCCACCTTATCAGCAGCAATCAGATTGATTGTTCCCACATGTCAGAACGACCTCGCTTCCTGGCTGGTTCCATAATGATCCAATACAAACAACTCGACAGCACTACGACAACTCCACAAATCGTGCATTGTTTAGAGCGGTTATAAAGACTTAAGGCGCTCAAACTCAAAACTGTCTCAACCTATCACCTGTCAGAATCGACACGAGGCAGTTCCAGTTAATCACCTGATTGGACCGCCAACCAGCCAGATTATTCATTCAGGCAATGAAGCACTTGCTGCTTCGGACGTCATATGTCAAGTGATTTTTTTCGCACCAAAGCAAGCTCTGAAGCAGTGGTTCTATAGGATTATAGTTCAGGGTTTCAAAGCACTTATCGAAGCTTCAGCGTCGCACTGCCATCACTAGTTTTGAGCTGATCTTCTTAAATTAGCCCATTCATGGAGCAGGTTAAGTGAGCCAGCTTTGTGATACAGGAAAACCCAAAAGTTAAGCCCAAAGATGGCTAGCTAACTCACTAATGTAATTTGTGGTACAGGCCCCAGATACACAGATGTAAAAACATTTTTGTTTTAATCCAGTCAAACCTGGCTGTGTTTTTTTTATTTTATATTTCCTAATTTGACTCACTATTTATCAAACGTCCTGACCTGTACACCTGCTCCATCTGACTGTCATTGCTGTGTTTTCTTATACATCAAACTTCCTTGTCTCCTTAATGGTCTGACTGTCTTTGTTTTATCATGATTATTGCATGATATGGTAAAAGTGTGATATACTATGTATAGTACATTTATTTTTTTAACATTTTGTTTTCTTATCATTGTGCTCACAAATGCTTCCAAAACTTTTCTTTTGCAACAGGTAGATGATGATCCACCAATGGCCTTTCATCAAGTGTTTATGCTCAAGTCCCAAAACTGTGCATGGGCCTGCACAAATGATGTGTTCCGGTTGGGGATACACAACATACCAGTGTAGTGATCCGGATTTGTTGGCTCTCACACGTTGACATCATCCAGCTCTAAATTCTTACCATGGTCAAGCTGTCATTGAAAACACAAGGGATTTTATTACAGAGTTCCTCAATGTTTACAATACACCTATAAGCGTAGTGTTTGTAATAAATATGTCAAATTACATTGCTCTCCAATAAAAGAATTTATTAGTCTGAACTGTGTTTGTGTTCCCTTTCTTTCCCAAGTGGCTGTATTTTTTTTGTATTATTGTTTTATTTTCTCCCATGACAAACCCTGCGGTCTGATGACTGACACTGAAATGAGTAAGTATCAGCAGAGAGTGAGAGTCTCGTCATATCATAGTCATTTTCAGGAATGTGGTATTACTTTGACGTGAATGCGATTTTATAATGCTGCGTGTTGTGTGAGCAGCACTAGAGGCGCTACATCCGTCTGTGTGCTAGTTTAAATGGCTCAGCCAACAAAGCTGCATCCACAAGGTTATGGCACAGAGTACAAGCTAGATGAACCAAACTCCATGACGCCAACGGTGAATAAGGTCTTCTCAGGAAATGGATCTAATTAATCAGCAATCTGGTGTTTTTAAAGAGTCGGTAAGCAGTTTAAATACAGCTAATGTGTGAATTATATGTAACGTTAGGCGGGATGGAACGTAATGATAAAATAACCAATGTGCATTCATGGTAATGTTAGTGTGTCAACCAACCGAAAAGACAGGTGGGTGTAGATGTCAGAGCTTCGCTTTGTAAAGGCAAATTCGTAACTGTAAGTGAGGGGTTTCGTCAAACAATGTTAAATGTTACAAACTGGCCTTGTCTCATCGTGTTACGTTAATGTTTTAGCTAACTCAATTTTGGACTACGGTGTAACGTTAGACGTTTGTCGGACAGAGCACCACCGTCGACAAAATGTAGTTTAAATTGTAGAAGGAACGTGAGGAGAAAATTGCTAGGAATGGATACAACTACTATAAATAACAAAAAAAAGCTATATATTGGACATTTAAATGCAATATGTCCTTTGTTTTGGATGTTACGAGTCAATGCGCAAGCGCAGTGGGCTGTTTTGTAGTTAAAGGTACAAGACATTTGTGGACATTAGTCCAAAGCCGTAGTAAAGTACCGTACTAAATGTGAGGTGAAAATGTGTTTATTTGCCTCCTGGGCTCTTTGTAGAATGGCTTTAAAGATAAAGACCCAGACTGCCAGCATGGTTCAGAGACAGAGGAAGAACCTTTGCTCCGGGAAAACCCCAGACGGTTTGTCATCTTCCCCATTCAGTACCCCGACATCTGGAAGATGTACAAGCAGGCACAGGCATCTTTCTGGACAGTGGAGGAGGTATGTTTCAATTTTACTGTACTGAATAATTATTGTAATTTTTAGTGTTTTACCAGCTGGAAAAAAACAATAATTTCGAATATGTACATAATGTAATTTATATGTACTTTTTATAAAATGTATTTAATTGACCAGATGTATTTAGCTGAGAACACAAACTTTACAGTATCAGTCTATTTAAAGTAAATGAAATACTATTGAAGTAATACAAATGCCACACATTAAAGAAGTGATACTGATTCCTTTTCAGGTTGTTTCCCACAAAAATACCAAAGAAAACTAAACTTAAAATAAAATAAATATTCAGTGGAAAAACCCTGAACAATTTAGGAGACAGGTGTACTGTTGATGTGTCTTTTCAGGTTGATCTATCCAAAGACTTGGCACACTGGGACCGTTTGAAACCTGAGGAGAAACACTTCATCTCCCATGTTCTAGCCTTCTTTGCCGCAAGTGATGGCATCGTCAACGAGAACCTGGTGAGAGGAACCTTTCTAGCAATTGCAACAACATATTGTTTTGAGAATAAACTAACATGCATGGTGTGTTTTGAGATCATACAAAAATGGCAGCCTCACTTAAACTTCAGTCCTAGCTTTACCCTGTGTGAGTAAACGGTTTCATATTAAAGTCAGATATAGTTTCAATTTTGTTATGCTGAAGATAATACCTTTCTAAAAAAGTTGTTTTTTGTATTTGTGCAACTGTCATATCTAACAGGTGCAGAGGTTCTGCCAGGAGGTGCAGGTCCCTGAAGCACGCTCCTTCTACAGCTTCCAGATCCTTATAGAGACCGTTCATTCAGAGATGTACAGCATGCTCATCAACACTTACATCAGGGACCTGAGGGAGAGGTAATTTTTGTAAATGTATTGCAGTTTAGATGAGCTCAGTTATGTTGCATCCAATTATAAATAACTGCTACAGATTGTAATGGTTAGATGGTAAAGATTATGTGGTGCAGCCTTAGTGCCTTTGGAGCCAACGCATAACCATATACAGACAAATTCTCCCCATGTATCAAAGATTCAACAACAAACTGTAAGACTTGCACCTGTTCATCACAGGCTAAGTCGTCTACACCACTTGTCGTTATTTCTGTTGTATTCCCAGCTGCAGCAGCTTTGATGCATCTTCAGGCTAGGAAGACAACAATGTCATGGCCTCTGCATTAAGAGGTTATTAACAAAAAGTACTGGTGCATTCACTTTACTCTCTACCTACACAAGCCTTCCATTATTTTGCATCTTATGTTTGTACTTAATTTAGATATATTTGTTTGCTGAGGCTATATGTTTAGAGTTAGTAATACAAGTCATTTTTTATTCATTGTGTGTTTCAGAGACTACTTATTTAATGCCACTCAGACCATGCCTTGTGTGAAACGAAAAGCAGACTGGGCCCTCCAGTGGATAAATGACAGCAAATCCACATTTGGTAATGAGACAACACTCAGAACATCATACTGTCAATCACTCACCAAGAGGAACTTCCCATTTATAAGTGGTTAATAGGAGTTTTGACATGTTTTGCCCTTAGGGGAGCGAATTGTGGCGTTTGCAGCAGTGGAGGGCATCTTTTTCTCCGGCTCATTCGCTGCCATCTATTGGCTCAAGAAGAGAGGACTAATGCCTGGCCTTACCTACTCCAATGAGCTGATTAGCAGGGATGAGGTGAGAGGAATTAAAAAACAAAAAGACGTTGGTAACCTGTCAAAAGGACCTCAAACTTTGAGTGCAGCTGGAATAAATTACAATGATGTACAACAGGTGTGAAGTTTAGGTTAATTCAACTTGAAATGATTACTTTCTGTGACATCTTGCAGCACATGAAATAATACAACATACTGTATAAATCATTGCTCTTGCATAATACTGTTGGGAAGCTTCTATCTTGAATAATTTTTTTGTCACACCTGCATAGAGGTTTGATTGTGCAAATCATTCATATAACTCTGATGTTACTGTACTATCTTACTGTCTGCATTTGCAAATCCTCTGATGTGACGGCTGTCTTGTTCAGCTCTTCCATCCACACCTTGCTGTTTAAAAAATGTCAGATTAGCTATGGTGCTCTTCAGTCAGTTTGGGTAGTAAATATGGTCACAATGACTGAGGACTCTGTTTTTACGGTTTCATGTATATTTGTGTGTTCCTTAGGGCCTTCACTGTAACTTTGCCTGCCTGCTGTACAGCTACCTGGTGAAGAAACCATCAGAGGACCGGGTTAAAGACATAATCACCAAAGCTGTTAGCATTGAGCAGGTCAGCTACTGTTGGGGGGGGAATATGCTCAGCCCAGACTACACGTTAATTCAATCTATCTCTGCTTTTTTTTCTTACTGTTTACTTTGTCTATACTGACTCCCGCGGCAATAAATCAGTAGTACCTTGACAGGCTATTCTCTTTTGAAAGACCTTTTGTTTTATTATTTTTGGTGTCGCAGGAGTTTTTGACAGAGGCCTTGCCGGTGGATCTCATTGGAATAAACTGTTGTCTGATGAAGCAGTACATTGAGTTTGTGGCCGACCGGCTTCTCGCTGAACTCGGACTGGCCAAGGTAATTCTATTTAAATGGTCATAAAATCGATTAAAACGAAAGCCAAATTGTCATAATACATTGAACCCCTTTTAAGTGGTAGCTATTGTGTTAAAGCAGAGGACCTCTGGATTGAGGAGAATGGAAGTCTCACTATAAAAGTCACAGTCTTTGCAAAAATGATGAAAAAAAAAAAACGTGTTAATGTTAGTGTGACATTTTGGTGCTGTAACTTTTTCTCTTTCCTTTTAATCCAAGGTATACCAAGCTGAGAATCCATTTGACTTCATGGAGTCCATTTCACTAGAGGGGAAAACCAACTTCTTTGAGAAACGTGTAGCAGAGTATCAGAGATTTGGGGTTATGTCAAGCATGATGGACTGTGAATTCACTCTGGATGCAGACTTCTGACACTGAGATGACACCATGTTACATATTTGTTACATTTCACCTGTTTTATTAACAGTATAAAGTCTTGTTTCAAAGCTATTTGAGTATTACAAAGGACAAATTAATGGTTGACAGGTTAAAGCTGCACTCTTCCAGTAGACATGTCCAGCCTTTTGGCAATAGGGATTGAGAATTACACCTTGAGTTATTTAGCAGCCAATATATTGCAGTTTGCAAAGCAGAATAGGATGAACGAATGGACCTGTCAAGCCGTGCTTATAGCGATTTTTGACCTTGACATGCTACAGGGCACACATAAGACCTAAGGTTTGGTGAAAAATAAATAATTAGTCAGGTTATTATTGTAAATTATTGTTCTGTACCTCATTGGACATTAGAAGATGGTTAATATCTAGAATATATTTTATTGAGTCTGCAGTCCTGGCTGCTGGCTTATATGGTGAATTGTTTTCACATTTTATAAAGTTTTCATGTACAATAAAATGTTTCTTAAAAAATCTTTATTGTAACGTTATTTAAATTGTATTTGTCATGCATCGTACAGCCATCAGAGAGCCAACATCATTCAGCAGCCTTATTTCCAAATGTGGGAGCTTAGCTGTAAACGTGGTTTAACTTCATGATTTAGGTATGGCCAAATCCCTGAATCTAGCTAGTATTGTTGCCTGCCAAACGGTCAGGATAAAGAAGAATTTACGTACTGCGAAATGTAGTTTTACTGATATTTCTCCCAACGGTCAGATTAGATTAGCCACTCCTCCGTTAGCATACGGATGCTGGTAATGCTAGCTAACAGCTAGTCTTTTAGCGATTTGGAAAGATGGCTGGGGACTTTCAAGGTTTTGCGCTGGAAAAAGCAGAACTGCTTTCCAGCCATCTGAAGGATGTCCTGTCTTCAGGACAAGGATATGTTCAGGCTCAGTTCGGGGTGGATTTGGGTCTGAAGCCCGAGCTGTACCCGACGTGGGTTATCCTGTTTACGGCCGCGGTGGCTCTGCTGCTTTTACTCTGTCTGTCCTGGGCCGCCGTCTGTGGCGGACTGCTCGTCGGGAAAAAGCGGGGTTCCCCGGCCACCAAAGGCAGCTGTGAGCCTGATAAGGCCAATTTAACTAAAACTGCCAAACCAGAAGAACAGAAGAAGAGGAACAAAAAGAAAACGCTTGAAAAGGTACCGTAGCCAGCGTTTATGAGCTGTTGAATCACGGCGGGTCAACAAGTGCGTCTAACGTCAACGTTACTCACTGGTGTGTCTAGAAACAATGCTAAACGACAGTGTTCACTCAGTTAGCGTTAGCTACCTTTAGACGTGTCCTTTTATCAAACAAATCTGTTAAATTTAACGTTAGTTAGCTAACTAACACCTAGTCCTACACCACGGACTATCTAAATATTGGTAGCTTTACAGCTTGCTTTGTTTACACAACGCAAATTGTGTTATTTAGGGACAATTATGTGCCCCACTTAACGTTAGAAAATGACAAAAATAAACCAGTTAGCTGAATATACACTGAATCATGATGTCTTGTATAGAAAGCGATGCTAACTAGCTAACTTAGTTGTATACCAACTGACAAGCAATTAATGACAGTGCCAGCTAGCTAAAGTATTATCGTTAGCCAGATGTTGCGATAACACCTGAAGCATAAGAAACGTGTGTGCATGTAGCAATTTGATTATACATTTGTGATGTTTGCTGGGAATCTAGGTATAACGTTATTGTATTTTAAAGATTCACCTTGGGTGATCAGACTTTAGGTAAGTTTAATGTTTTCTGTACTACTGGATCATCAACGTCAAGTTGTTTATCTGATGTCTTTCTTACTCCCCCGGAAGACTCAGTCCAATGGACAACCAGTGGCTGTAGCTCAGGAGGATGTTAAAGTGACTGTCGCCAAGCTAGCCTCACAGATTAAAACCGATAAGGTATGTTTGAGAAGCCACACAAGTATTATTATGAGACAGTTTTGTTAGTGGTGAAATATTTCTAAAACCCCACTGTCTCTCCTTTTCAAACATTGCCAGAGTGGCATGTCTTCAGAAGACAGAGTTACATGATTTCCATTAGTATAACCTTTTTGTAACCTCATACATTACTTCAATATAGCTTTTATTTCTCTTTATCCACAGGTGCATGAGGTACAGGCCCCAGTGCAGGTGAAAAAGAACAAGAAGAAAACCAAAACGGATCTGAAACCAGTCCAGCATGTGTCGACAAATGATGGGAAAGAACCTGATGATGGTAAGACTCAACTGTGGTAGGGGGAAATTTCAAACTTCTGTTTTACTAAAACAACTAAAAAATCCATTTTACCCAGTACCTGGCCCTCATATTTTACAACAACTACAATACTTGATTGCTACATCAACACAGTTGATAAGAATTTGCCTCAGCACTGTATTTATTATAACCTACTTGAAATCTCTTGTTTTGATTGGTTTTGATTTTCCTGTTGTAGACCGCCTCTCGGTTAAATAATCAACCCAATTTCATCTGCAGTCAATCATCTAAAATACTTATTTTTATTGCCTTGCACACAAAAAGTCCCCTAAACATTTGATGTTGTTTTTCTGTGATTAGGTGCATGGGAGACCAAAGTCAGTAACCGAGAGAAGAAGCAGCAACGTCGGAAGGAGAAGGGCTCTGGGGACTCTGGTAGCCCAGCGGGGGGGGGGGCGCCAAAGACCAATGTGGAAGCACCTGTAGCCACAGCTCCTACCAACACCAAGAAGAAAAGAGGAAACCATGGTATTCATCCAGGAAATGTGGGGATTGGGTGTGACACTCAAAGATAGAGAAGTAATCGAAGGCTTGTGCCCAAACATTTATTTAACATTCAGTGTTTACAGGGCTCAGCATATATGTAGCACCTTGATGTTAACAGTTCACTCGTTTTAACAATTATTAGCTAGTTGTAATGCATGTTATTTAAGCATACTTTCTCCCCACATTGTTTCAGAGTCCCTGCATTCAAGATCCAGTGGGAAGGGGGATGCAGCCAGTGGAGCTGGTAAAGACAAAGCTAAATTATTATTTTGTGTGACTGAGATGGGGAAACTATTTAATAGCTTGCTTTTTCCTTTTTTCTTTATCTTTATTGTCCTGAGTGAAGTCTGCTCTGGTATCGAGATAAGATGGAGGGTAGACATAAAGGTGTCTGCCTGGGTGTAGTAACTGAACAGGCCTGTAAACGATGGTTTTGTAATCAACGATTTTAGTCTTAACTCTAAAATACAGAATTTGCTAGACTGAAGGTTGTCACTGACTGACAAAATGGCGAATCTGATTCCCTGCCTTCCCTAATATCTCCACAGTGTCCTGCAGCTGGAGAGAGGAGCCTTCAGTCAATGGTGGAGGTTGGACAGATACTACTTTGAAGATCTCAGGTGCGATGGATGCTATGGAGGGAACCAAGTGGAGTGCCATTACCACGGCTACACATTACAGAGCCCCACCTAAACGTCAGTCCTGGGCACAGGAGACACAAGGTACCACCTTGACCTGCATAGACCTTTAAATAATATTGATAGTGGAGTATAACACGGCAGAATCTACAACTCAATATGTAAACAGTGGGACAGTGAGGTTTTTTTAATGTCTTGACTCCACTCAGCACGTTGCATTTGAAATGAAACAACAATTTTGAGGGTAGCTACAGTAAAATTATATAATAATTAAAATATAATTTTATATTGCAACATACCCTGAAGGTTACAACACCCTTGTCCTCCTTGTGAAATGTCAACTGTGGAAGGTATTTCTATACTGTAACTGGGTGACAGCACACTGGTTTTAGGAAGATATGAAGGTAGTCCTTGATGACTGCATTTAGTGCCGACTCCAGTAGAACATGTGCGATGTTGACAAATCTGAGCTCCACTGTCTGTTTGCCAGAGCAACATTCCAGCCATATAATCTGTGTTTTTGTTACTCTCTCCAGCAGCATGGAGTGGCATTGATAGCCGGATAAAGGCTGACCTCAACCCTGTGTCCTTCTCCATGCTGGGACGAAACACCACAGGTTGGTTGTTGTGATTAAGTGCCAGCTTTTATGACCCACTCACTTTTTTTTTTTACCTCACTTTCCCACTACCTGTCTCTCTTAGATCCAATATCAAATTCAATTGAATTGCGGTGGCAGAGCCACCCTGATGTTGAGGATGAATGGTCTGGACTCAGTGAGTATTTCAGCACCCCATTTCATGTAACACAACCTTCTTAATAATTCTGGATCATTAAAGAGGTGGTATTATGCTCATATTTAGGTTAAAAATCCTATTTAGGGGTTGTACCAGAATAGGTTTATATGGTTTAATTTTCAAAAAACAACATTTTTTTTTCATACTGCACATTGCTGCAGCTCCTCTTTTCACTCTGTGTGTGAAGCCTTTGTTTTAGCTCTGGAGTGATGCATCTTGTCTCTAAATGATCTTTGTTGGGAGTTGCACCTGCACAGTTCCTAGTTAAGGACTACTAGCCAATCAGAAGCAGAGAAGGGCGGGTCAGCCAAAAGAAGGTAAACAGCTTCAGTTCAGCTGTAGGCTACATGGACTGGAGCAAGAGTGGTGAGTTATTAATCTGTAACAAAAGTATTTTTCATCCATAAACTTATAACTGAGCTCTGTCTCTACATCACAGTAACAACTTTATGCCCATTGACTGCCTGGAGGGTAGCTAGTGTTTGGAAGGGAGAGGAGTTGGTGTGCTGCAGCTCAGTGTTTTTCCACCGGTGTTATATGGGAACTCCACTCCACTTGGCAAACCTATTACATGCACAAAAAAGATATATAACTCAATAAAGGAGAGGGGAAAAGCCAAAAAGCATAATACCACCTCTTTAAAAAAATGTAAAAGCTGCCAGTGGTTTTGTGAGATAAAGCCTAATCGCAATCTTAAAATTAAATGCGTTTTGATTTTGTGGGATGCGAAAGTATCCATACCTCGACATGCATATCCGTTTGAATTTGTAATAATCTAACTGTGATCCTGTCTGTGAATTCTTTTAGATGGGATGGCAGCAGCGGACCCCACTTCAGACTGGAATGCCCCAGCAGAGCACTGGGGAAACTACGAAGAGCCCCCTGTGTTGGTGACACCAGCACTTCCACCAAAGGAACAGCCCATCCCCAACAAGGTTTCACCAAGTGTTTCATGCTCGGGCCATAAAAATTGTGTCCAACTCAGCCATCTGCTGGGCAGAGGTGGTATTGCTAGAAGGGAAAAAAGCAGGAGTGGCAGTGTTCAAACTTGAGCTTAAATGTTGAGTGGCTATTTTAGCAGGTGGTGACATAAATGAAAGTCTAAATTTAATAAACTGATGGTTAATTTTATATGGCAACATACCCTGAGGGTTACAACACCCTTGTCCTCCACCTCCTAATTACACCTATTGTACATTTCTAAATTATCGCTATGCAAGTCCCAAAAGTCTTTACAACATTTAAAGAAGGCTTGTTGTATACTGGAGTTTATTGCCTTGGGGGTTTTTTTTCGGCACATCATTGAGGAAGCAACACAACATTTGCCAAATCAGAAGCATCAACAACAGAACATCTTTGTTGATTCATATATTGAGGTGGTGTCCATCCCACAATGTACCTCCTGATTTCTTTCTGCCTAATTTTCAAATGATATGAATGTTTTGTGTTTGTAATGGCAGGTATCAGAGGAAGAGAAGGGCACTGAGGATCCCTCTGGTGGAGCAGCCAAATCAAAGAAGAAGAGGAAAAAGAAGAAGAAAACTGAAGAGGAAGATGCATCTGAGGCTCAGGCAAGGAGTATAAAAGTATAAAACCGTTCTATATAAAATGTTCTATTTATGTGTACATATTCACATCAGATGAATGTCTGCATTTCTCCTGTTTTGGTAATGTTATTGCATTTGTTTGATTGTAGATGACGAACACAGCTCCCCTGGTTAATACAGAACCCAAACCCCAAGAGCCTCCTGTGCTGGCTTCCAAAAAGCAGATTCCAAGCATATCCTCCACTCAAAGTAGGTTTCAACAGCTCAGATTATGAATTTGTATTCACTCACAGAGAGCAAATACATGGCCAAACAGTATAGCAGAGGTGTGGACTTTATTCACATGACTTGGACTCGAGTCAGACTCAAGTTATAAATATCATGACTTTAAACTCGACATGACAAAATCAAAGAGCAGTGTATATCGTATTTGTATTGACTGTAGGTCATTCTCCATTTTTTAGTGTTATCTGCGAGTACTACGTGAATCTGCTCCTCTTCTCTTCTCCCCACACTAGCGCACATACCTTCCCTGCACCTCTGGTCTCTCACGGCCTCTTTCTGTCTCTCTCTCCCTGTATGTGTCTCTGCTGACTTTCTCCATCAGCAGTACGTTTCATAAAGTCGCCGTGTTTAATAAACTCACCAGTGATTCAGTTTTCAAGTGCAGCACATGTGGATCAATACCGAAACTAACACCACAAAAAAAGTTATGAACAGCAGTGTTTCCCCTATATGCATTCAGCCACTACTAAAATTTCCCACGATCATTAAACTATGCGCTACAAATGTTTTCACTGCAGCACTCAGTGCTCGGCTCGCTTCCTCTCCTCGTTCTATGCAGAACATACGTGACAGATGGTTTTATAAGAGCAGCATAACTCTGAATCGAGAGGTGCTTAGCGAGTTTGATTGTCCAAGTGGCAGAAAGTGACGGTGAACACGAGCGGAGGAAAATATTCTGGCAGTAAATGTACGGTGTCTGTTACAGTGTATCAGCTTCTCAAGACCAAGAAAAGTCTGTTGTTTCCCACCTGCTGGAAAAGTGAAGCCGGTTAGCGCTAAGTTAGCTAACATCTCCCCTCCCCTTCAGACTGCGCTGCTGAGCAGGAAAGCTTCTACAGCAGCTACAGAGCTGCTATGTAACTTAACATTAGTTCAATTTGTATAAAGTAACTGTAAGCTGCATTTTATTACTGCGTGCTTGTCCAATGTTGAGAACATCAGGTACAAACTTAGACTAAACTGACGTAGCCTGCTGCTCTGTCCTGTACAGACTGATTAAATTATTTTTTGGTTTTCAGTCTGAAAAAGTGGTTTTGGACAAGAAAGGACGGAGGAGCTGAGGTTAGTAAAGCTAATTAGTGATGCAAACTAGTCCTTTTAAGCTAATGAGTAGACGTTTCTTTTTGGATTTTAATGTGCAAATAAAATGCACCTCAGAAGTGAGGAGGTTTCTCATGTTGCCTATTTTTTATGTTAATGTATACAGATAAATGTCAGAAGCTGTAAAATGAAGACACAAGGCAAACATGAACAGTCGTATATATAATGATTCTGAGGTCATATTAACAGGGCTTTCCTGCCGTTAAGGCTTAGGGGTTATGTCCAAAACATGCTATGCCATTACTGTAAAATCACTGTGGAGCAACAAATTACTTTCTCCAGATCTAAAGGTTGTAGTTCCTCCAGTAGACTGATCTTTGGGTGTTGTTTGTTTATTATCTGCTCTAACTTTTTCAACTATTTGTTCAGCGATATGGTGAAAATAATGGCCCAATATGATGTGAAATTACATATTTTTCATTGGAAAACATCAAATTTTCTTGGGGAGCACCTCCAAACCCCCGACCAACACCAAAACATTCATCTAAAGCTCACATTAAACTGGGAAAACACTGTAGTTTTAAGCTATGCTACGGTGCATCGCATGCTCATGGACACAAGAGCAATGTTGCTGAGACATGTTGTGTTGGGGTTTTATATTCAGACAAACATTTTGTTTCACCTCCGCTGCTACAACTCCATCCTAGGGGAAACACTGAAGTTTACTTGTTTTGTGAAGTGTGAGTATTTTCTCAGGGGAGGGGGTGCTGTTTGTCCTGCCCCGCTGCTGAAAAAAATCCTAGAGGAAACACTGAACAGAACCGTGGATTGGGTGAATTGTCACACCCCTAGTTTTGTCACTGTTGTTTTATGTAACTGTGTCTCCCAACAGAACACAACTGTTGTATTTCAGCACTATGTAATGTAGCTAGTTGTCATCAACTCAACTCAAGTGTTTCACCTGTCACCTGCTCTGCATCAGTTCATGTGTACACACTAGAGCCCGCCCGATATTATCAGTCGATATGAGCTAATTGCATTTAATCGTCATCGGCCGCTTATAACAGCAGATATGACTATTAAAAAAGAAACCTAGAGTAAGATCCTTCACTCATGTCATGGATGTTGGATAGTTTGCCAACCAGAGGGCGACCAGCTGCAGCTCCCCTGTTAACTACACTGTCTCACCACAAAAACCACAGAAGAAAACAATCAGCTGCCCGGAGTTTAGGTGTTGTGCCAAATTCTGCCTGCCTGCCAAGAATTGCATGCACCTCGCGGGTTATAACGGTCCGTTATGTAAAGAGGTGGATGCAAATCTCGGCAGGTAGCCAAAAACATCTGTTCTACCGAATTATGCATCCACCTCTTTAAGTCCTTTTCAGACACTTTGCTGTGCTCATTGATCAAACATGGTTATCCCCACATATATTTACTGAATGTCAAGGAATGGCACTTCTGCTAAGTGTATTAAAATATAAAAGACTGTAAACGTTCATAAAATATATACTTCGAATCATTTATCACCATTGATGAACCCCACAAAGAATATTATAGCGTTTAAAAGCAGTATTTAAAGGTGCAAGCAATTCTCGGTAGACAGGCAAAACTCAGCGTAACACCGGAACTTACACACAGCATTTAGAAACACGCAGAGTGCTGTGTGAGTGGTGAGTCAGTCTTTTGTAAAGTTAATTTCATGACTTTAATAATTACAATAAAAACAGACCCAGTCACTTCTCCTCTCCTGAAAGCATCCATGACTTGCCGTTTTTCATTGCCATCTCCCGGCTTCCTACCAGCTCACAGCAGTTTAATGTTACGGTAGTTGGGTGTTGAAAGCTAACGTACGCTGCTGGACAAACGTAACTGTACATTTATTTCAAATAGTGTGGCTGTTCTAGTGAACGGTCCACATTTGTCCCTAGTTCATCACTTCTAAATATTCTCTAAAATCATGTAACATTACAGCAGCTCACGCTGCCCGTTGCTAAATTAGCCACAAAGTTAATGCCGTGTTTATCAGTGGAGGAGCGCTAACATTAATGAGCCGCTAAACTATAGTTTCTGATGTATTCTAAATATATCTGCGAATATTTGAGTATATTTTCTGTACAGGTTAACGCTTTATTCATTAAGGTTGTGTTATGCTTTTTTTTTCACTTTTAACGCTTTTTAAAAATATGAAATGGCATTTAATTTGGTAAAGAGCACATTATGAGTTTATTAGGACTCAAAACTCATAGTTTAGGACTTGAGACTTGACTTGGGACTTGAGTCCTTAGACTTATTTGCAACTTGTAAAACAATAACTTGGTCGCACCTCTGCAGGATAGCAAACTGTTTGTTCAATCTCACTACCACTACTTCATAATTTTCTTTAAAGCACATACCATATTTTATGTTACAATTTTTTTTATTTTACCTCCTTAATCTACTTGCAGAGATATCTGAGCAGATTGCGGAGCCTCCAAAGCCCTCCCAGAAGAAAAAGGTCCGAAGGGAAACATGAAGTCACATCACAGGTCCACACACAGCATATGCAAATGATTGTTAAATGTGTCACATGCAATAATTGCCAGGTACAGAGTTTCAACGGTTTATCAGTCACACGCAGACAAAAAAAACAAGCAGTGGATATCACCTGCTTGTCTAAATATAGTGATGAAATGTGGTCCTATGGACTGGAATCTTAACTAGTTTGCACTATTTGCTACACTGCAACCAGTCTGGAGTTTCAGGGCAGGTGGACTTGGTGACAGTGCAGGTACATGTTTATGTAATTATTTTTTATGGCATCAAAAGTGTTGGGTGTTTTACCCCCTCCAAGAGTGTATGTTTATAATTGTTAACCCAAAAATACAAAACAGATTGTAGTTTTATCTTATGTAATATGAAAATTTAATTTACAAGAGAAACATACTTTTTTGCTTCCCCAGAATGGACTTTTTTTTATTGCTGCTTGTGAGGGCTGGTCTCAGATTGGGCTACATTCAGATTTGTTTCAAGTCTGACTCAGTGCAACACGCACATGCCCATAAGTACATTGAAACAGTTAAAAGGGTTTCTGTAATCTCACACACACACACCCTCCCTCCATACTGGCCATGAAGCTATCCCTCATGGAGCAACTACAGTGTAAGAAATGGGGGTACAAAAAGCCACGCTCCTCGTTTGTGCAAAAATGCATTCAGTTAAAGCAAATATGAGGCTTTAGCTAGTTTTGGCCAAATTGATGGGTATTTTCCCAAGTAATGACCTTTTTAGTAAAAACTTACCTCTTTGTGTTTCAGTGTTTTCTTGTTGAGGGTAGAGGGATACATCGTGGCAGTCACAAACCTTGACAATAAACCCTGACAATAAACCTACACATGACTGTCAGAACGAAGGTACCCATTGATTTGGCTATTCTCAGACTGGTGAAGCCTCCTATTAGTTAAGACTGCACTTTTGCACATTAAAATGCATTTTGTACCCCATTTCTTACAGTGTAGTCATTCTGTGAAGGTATCACTGCACAGTCAGTAGGACAGGAGAAATTATTACAACAACCTATAACTCTTTCAACGCACAAATTACATGTCAGTGTTGTGGTAAGATAGGTTTGGCTATATATATTTGGAGTAGCTGAAAAGTCACCTATTCATCATTTATGGATGAGATCAGATAATTTTTTTTCAAAGATGATGCTAAATTTGAAATGTGAACGGTGTAAACCGATTCTGGATTCCCACTGGGGACTCTTGGTGACAGTAGAGATACAAACCACCAGGAGGCACTGTAATGTGAAGGAAAGGAGTAGAGGCATTAGTGCTGTCAAGTGTTCTCCCTCTACTTATCATTCTGAGTGTGTCTATCTTTATTTGACTAGACTGTGTGTAGATTTTTCTACAGACTTCATTGTTGCTCCTGCACTCTATATGATTTAAAAAAAAACAACTTTTTCTTCCAGTTTCTGTGCTAGAAAAAGCCATGCCATATGTACAGATTGTAAGGGCTTTTTCCAGCTCTGTGATTGCACTGTGCAAAAGGCTGTATTAAGTTCCTTTTGATGTTGATGAATCGTTTTTTACTACCTTTTTGCAGAATATGAAATGTGTGTGGTTTGCACCTTCCAGGATTTATGAAGACAGACATAGAAATATGATATGGAGCAGCTTTAAATCCACGCAAATCCAATCGAACTTGTTTTTAACAAGACACACATACACACAATTACACATATATAAAAGGAATTAAATTCCATTGCCTTAACCTGTAGTTGTATAGAAAGTGCATTTTTTATAATTCCTATCCAATTGTAAGTTTTGATGTCAGAAATTAATTTCATCTTGCATGACTTTGATAATAGTACTTGTGTACATGAAATAAAATGAACCATCTCTTGTTTTAACTGTTAGTACTTGGTCCTGGCTTTTGAATAGCTTTTTTTAATGAGATGTTGCAGCTGTTTTGTGGGCATCCAATTTAGTGGTCAGTCTGTTTGTTGATAGACAAAGGGCCTTTAGAACACCAAGGTGTTGATCAGCTGATGTTGGTACATAGTTGTTGGTAGACCTGATAAAACTAAATGATCGGTCGCTGTGGCTTCAGTCGCCCCTTTTTCTTTGTTTAATTTTTACTGATGATTAAAGTGGAAACAATGTATTTATATACATGTCTCGCAAATCTTTATGTGAATGATTTTGTTTAATGAGGAGATACAAATGATATTTCTATGTTTGTTTGGTAAAAATTTAAAAATAAATGAGAATTGCTTGATATCACATTGGGTTTTTTGTTTGTTTCTTTCTAAGGATGACCTACTAAAACTATGGTTGGCAAAAGTGTAAAAGTAACAGCAAGGTCACTTATGTTGTCTTGAAGAACACTGTGGAGCCATTCTACCCATACAAAACAGTAAAAGTGTTGTGACTGTTTTCAGAGTGATATTATGACATATGTGGAGGTTTCTTTTCAGGCTCATCAGCTTTTCCAGTGTCTGTAGATCTTGTGCATGTCCCCCACAAGAATGAAAATAACTAAAAGACAAATATTATAGTGGGGCTTAATGATAAAATGTTTATATTTTTAAAGATGGCATTGACATTATTAGGTTTGTGTTCACAGATGCTTTGAAGCTACAGTACTTATTCTGTACAGACATGCTCCCCTCTGACTGGCTGACGAAGTCAGAGACAATTTAGAGTCACAGGAAAAAGTATGTGAACCCTTTGGAAGTACCTGGATTTCTGCATAAATTGGTCATAAAATGTGATCTGATATTTATAAATTACAACAATAGACAAACACAGTATGCTTAAACTAATACTACACAAACAATTATGTTTTCAGACAAGATTGGAGCAGCCCTGCCCTGTAAAAAAAACAAAAAAAAAAAACACCAATTTTAATTTTGCTTTTCTCATGAAGCATTGTCTGACGTGAACCATGCCTCAAACAAAAGAGCTCTCAGAAGACCTAAGAGTAAGAATTGTTGACTTGCATGAAGCTGGAAAGGGTTACAAAAGTATCTTTAAAAGCTTTGATGTTCATTAGTCCACGGTAAGAAAAATTGCCTTTAAATGGAGAAAGTTTATCGAGAAATTTTGCAGGAGAATGTAAGGCCATCTGTCTGCCAAATGAAGTTCAGCAGAAGATGGGTGATGCAACAGGACAACAACCCAAAGCACAGAAGCAAATCAACAACAGAATGGCTTCAGCAGAAGAAAATACACCGTCTGGAGTGGCCCAGTCAGAGTCCTGACCTCAACCCGATTGAGATGCTGTGGCATGACCTCAAGAGAACGATTCATACCAGACATCCCAAGAATACTGCTGAACTGAAACAGTTTCGTAAAGAGGAATGGTCCAATATTCCTCCTGACCTTTGTTCAGGTCTGATCTGCAACTGCAGGAAATGTTTGGTTGAGGTTATTGATGCGAAAGGAGGTTCAACCAGTTATTAAATCCAAGGGTTCACATACTTTTTCCCCTCTGCACTCTGAATGTTTACACAGTGTAGTATTTTTGTGACTTAGATAAAGATCACATCACATTTTATGACCAATGTATGCAGAAATCCAGGTAATTCCAAAGGGTTCACATACTTGCGACTGACTAAATGACAAAGTTAATTAATAAGTAACTAAACAGATAATAGCCAAGTATGTAAATAAATACATAAAGTTGCATAATTACTTAATTATGTTTATTATATATCTGACTAAGAAAATAATAAATAAAGGTTTTTGGTAACTAACAAATTTTGCTTTGGTTTGCGAAAAAAACAATTCGCGATTGTCTCAATTAAAATATTGAGATTACAGCTGTTATTACTAGTGGGGGGTTTTTTCAAATTTGAATGATGACATATTAAGCAGGTTCACCAGGAACTTATGAGAATCCAAAACTACACCTTCTCTAAACTGTTCAAAAATGTACTGCGTTTTCTACACATTATACTTAACCACCAGAGCCCCTTGGGTTATGAAACAAGTTATGTTTCATTGAATCACTTGTTATCCTGAAGAAACACTGGTGATTTTGTCACTTGTTACTTGTGTTTTCATGCCAAAATAACCTTAAAGTATGAATTACAGGCATATTTTGTCAGCAGAACATCACACAGCAATACTCATGGTAAATGGAGCTTTCTCCCTGTCCACTGGCATCTTGTTTTCATGTTTTCTGTCAAACTAATCCCCAATCTGTGATTAATACAATGCAGATTCACTATTTGCCATGGTGCAGATCTGTGTCAGCCGAGCCTATGGTGACTCTCCTGAGGCCAAAGCGCAGCAGCCCAGTCAATGTGGAGAGGAAATCGCATGGCACGCGTACATAGCCTAACGACCTTCGCATCATCAGTCTCTGTGTCCTTTATCTGTCAGTTCATTTAGGATTTACCATCTTTTAATCCCTCTCAAATTCTGGCTCGCTTTCCACTGACCTTCCCTTCAGAGGGGAATCACGTTTTTTTCCATTCTTCCCCACCACAGGATTGTTTTTGTGTACGTGTGCTTGTGTGAAAGGCAGATATATTAATAGTGAAGGTCACTCTCTAATGGATGGTGCTGCTGTTGCTCTAAGCCCTGCTATGGAAATCACTCGCTAATGCTGTTTTAAAAAAAGATCCATCCCAAGTCCCCGTGTCTGAAACCCACAGGCTTTACATTGTGCTATCCTGAAACAAGTCAGACGGAGTGTGACAACATTATATGACCAAACTAACAGAATTCACCCTGACGCCGGCTTTGGGATTGCATTGTTCTCCAGCAGGTCTAAGAAAAAAGATTATAAGGCTTTGTATTTCCCGGTCATTATGTCGGAGCTTTCTCTGCGCGTATATGAATACTTGTGTTTAATATTTCAAACACTCTCTGTGACTGTTAAATCTTTATGGTTGGAAAAGAAATGGACATTCAGCTTGAGATTTCCTCTTCAAATTACATTCCAGCATTTAAAGAGGTGGAAGTTTGGTCAGTATTAAGTCATGGCAGTAGAGGAAAATCCCCTAATGTGACATGATGCGGTCCACCCACCAGGGCTTAGAGCTGTGGTCACTGGCCCATCTGTCAGGCTTGATCCAGGGTGATGCGTAGGCGGAGAGACAAAGTGACATGAAATGAAGACTTGTTGCAACACTGCAATAAAACGCAGTTTAGTCTCTCCATAAATTTATTACAAGAATGGATCTATCCATATTAACTTGATGTTTGAAGAGGATGTCACTTGCTTCATTGAAAGTGTTCAAACATCTACACAGGAACCCTAGGAACCAAAAATGAGGGGCTGGGCCCCTATTAAACCCACCCATTGCTTTAGTACAGTATTCCTATTTTGGAACAATATATGACTCTGGAAGCTGGGGCCCCATGGGAGTTGCCCACTTTGCCTGGTTCATAAAGGATTGAGGTAAAATGACTGCTTCCACTTGCAGAGTTCTTAATGTTTTAAGTGCTAGTTCTATAGTGACACGCGGCTTTAACATCTGCTTTAGTTTAATCACCGGAAACGACCAAAGAAAATGTCAGGTAATGTTTTCAGGGCAGGTTCAACATTTTTCAACATTTTGCCAAAACTGTGATTTTCATGACATATGTCAAACTTGTTCTTCTTGCGGCTGTTTTGAAAAGGAGAGTCAACAACTGCACCAGAAGCTACGACTAGTTTTTTTTATTTATTGTTATGACACATTAACATACAACACTCTCGTATGGGGAACAAAAATTAGATCACTTGGTACAAATCAAAAACCAGTCTTACAAACACAGGAAATAAATGAAAATAAATGAATAAACAGAAAGGAGAATGGGGGTACCAGTTAGTAAAAAGGCTATAGAAAACAAAATAAGGTCTTATTTCGGTGCAGCAATATGGGGAGTTAAAACAATAATTGCTTGGATATATCTCTATACATCTTTCTTGCAATTATACTAGATTTGAAGCTATGACTAGTGGCTCTCAGCTAGTTTTCTTGTGACTCTTTAAAAATTGAGTGATGTCTACCTCTGACCCTGAGCCTACATTTTAGCTCAGATACATCCTAATGTATGTAGGCTATCCTTGTGAGCAGTCTGGGGCTACTTAATCTAAATCAGTAAAGTAACCATAATCATTCAGTTGCTCCCACTAATAAACTATTTGAGTTAAAGAAAGCGTCACGTAAGACTTCAAGTGGAATGTTTTGTGTGATTGTGTAAAGCATTTTGCATCCAACCCACAGCTCTTGGTCAAACGGTCAAACCTCCCCATGTCACGTGACTCCGGGATGAGCCAGATTAACCGCTCTCTGTTCGCCAGAAGTCCACTTGGCAGAAACAGGCGCACATCGTTCCAAACATACGCTGGCGGGTCTAGCACAGAGGACTTCAATTTAGTTACATATTCTATTTTTTAAGGACATTGTAGCCTCTAATAATTCAGTGTGCGCAGCATTCATGAAATAGCTTGGAATTCATAGCAGGATAAACAATGATTTCGCCGTGGGACCGGTGGTACTCGACGAGCTGCTGCCTTTGCTGCCATGTACGGACTGGCACCATTATTCTGGGAGTATGGTATATGGTAAGTCAGATTTTTCATTCGATCTCAGGCCCAAATGTCTACAAATATGGCTAAATGTGTGCACTATTAACTGATAAACACAACGTGCCATTGAGTTCTTACAGCAGCATCTGAGTTAGCCCGTGCTGTTTTTCGTTTTTTTTGTACACTCATTTTTAGATTTGCCATTTTTGAGGATGTCCTCGGGTTATAGAATAATGTTACACACTTTAAACTACATTTTTGGCTTGTTAATCGCCACCATTTATCCACAAGGCTTATATCTTGACTATATAGACGTCTATTAATCAAATATAAGCATATATAACAATATGTTTGCACAGTTTGCTGCCGTGCATGGATAATCCTTCCAAGATAATGTTGCACTTTTTTTGTTGTGCTGAAATTATAACCTCACCAGCCCAGCCCATTTGATTTGACCTACATTTGTACCGGTTAAATATAGAGTTTGCTTCTGTTTTTACCCAAGGGGTAACCTACAGTTTTAAACATAGTTCAGTAATCCTGGTAAATCCCTGACTTTTAGTAAGCGTTATCTAGATACTGACCCTACTACTAACCAAGTCGTCAAATCGAGCCAAGGCCAGAAAAAGCAACGGATTAGGTTACCTATACATAAGGTGTTACCCCAAAAGTGAAAACATACAGGAGTCAAAAACATTTGAAGATGTTGTCTTGGGGTCTAGGAACTTTTGATTGGTATTTGACTGATTATTTC